ACAGCCAGCCTCCATCCTGCAGGTGAGATGGCATTTGGCTGCAGATTCTCTGTGGGCTTTTCTGCTTTCTGCTGGCCACACCAAAATGTATCTCTGCGGGGTCTCATTTCATTTGCCAAACCAGCCAATCTGAGAAGTCAAGCCCAGAATGAAAAACGGAAGCTCAGTGTGACATCGCCTCCAGGTGCTTCTGGCTGTGTTAGTGTGAGGCAGGTCAGTGGTTGGTGCAGGTGGGCCCATCGGGTGTGAGGCAGTTAAGGTCTTCCGCAGCATGTCTGAGGATCTACCTCTGTTTCTGGGTAAGGCAGGCCCTGGCTGGCTTAAAATAACCCCGGGCAGTGGAGATCCGTAAGGCGTTGTGTGGACTCGCCTGGAGAATTCCCAATTCCCAAAGCCCTGTGAACACTGGCTTTTCTGTGCCTTGGCTTTCCTCCTCTTCGATTTCCATGGAGCTCTCTGCCTCAGCTGTCACTGTCACATATCCTGGCTAAGTCCCTGGAGAAAAGTGACCCTGGACACAGTGGCAGCCTCTCGTCACTGCCCGTGGAATAACTTCACATCAAACCTGTGCTTTCCAAGTTATGCTTTTTCTGCCCTGGGGGTTCTCTTTTTCATGCCTTTTCTTTTTCAGCCAAGCTAACTCAGTGGGTAGTTTTGCATTGTTTTGCTTTCTGGTTAAGGCCATCTGTGGTTGCCTGAGTACAATATCAACCGAGTTACTGCCTGCACAGAGAGCGTACCCTGGTCACTGCTACCCAGAGGCACACTTCTCTGTCCTTGGATAATCAAGAACTAACTGTGTTTCCCTGGAAATGTTTCCACTGATGCTGGCCTGCAGTGTCTTCACAAGTCTAGAAGAAAGCCTTGACTTACTTGAGACTTTTTAAGAGAGGATCCGGCTACTTAGCACCTCCACGCTAAAGGAAGCAGCCGGAACTGTCTTGGTTTCATAGCGGTCAGGAGTCCTGTGAGGTTAAGGTTCATACTTGGCAGCAGCGTGCTCTGCTTGTGGAGTTCAGCACACACGGAACCTCTCCCCTTGGGCTGCAAAGCTGCACTGATCATGTATCTCCGCCGGGCTTGTCACCTGCTTCTTGATGAACAGAACTATTAATACTCTCTCACTTGATCTGGACAACCTTGGAGGGCTGGAGTCCTGATGTCCTTTTGCTTCTGCCCTGCCCTTCCTGGCTACGATTTAAAAGCAGAAGCATTGACTGGTCTGCCTTGGTAGTTTATGTTCAGTCCTCTGGTCCTGGGTGGATGAATCTCCTCGGGTGTCCCCTAGACTGGATGGTAAGCTCTCACTCTCGGTTGTTGCGATATCTCAGGGAACTGTGAACAGTAAGACAGGTTGGGTAAGGGGGTTCTTACCAGCTGTGTGGGGGAGGCGGTGGCAGAGCCCCTCATGGCCACCCGTGCCTTTTTCATCTAGTCGGAGCAGCAGCTGAGTGGGTATAACCACATCCACCTGAGTTCGCCTGCCTGCTCTGCCTCTCATCGCTGAGGGACCCGGGATGACTCACTCTGTCTCAGTTGACTCCCCTTTGGAGTTGGGGCAAGAATAGAATTTGCCTGCAGAGCTGTGGTGAGGAAAAACGAGAAAATGTTGAAAAGGTCCATGTGCAATGCCAGGCGTATCACGGCTCTTCATCAAAGAGTTTGGAATCAGCTGTTGGCTTTTGTGATGACACCATCAGTGTTCTGAGCTGACTGTATACAGTTTGTAGAATAGAGGGGTTCGGTTGTCATTTAAAAAAATAACCATTTTACTGAAATGGAGCTTTTATTTTATATTTTATTTTTTCAAGAGCAACAGAGATATAACTGACAGAGATCTTCCATTGCTGGTTCACTCTAAAAATGGCCATAGTTTCTGGGGCTGGGCCAGGCTGGAGCCAGGTACTCAATCCAGGTCTCCCATGTGGGCGGCAGGAACCAAGTTTTGAACCACCACCCCTGCCTCCTGGGGTCTGCCTGGCTAGGAAGCTGGAATTGGGAGGTAGAGTTGGGAATTGAACCCAGGCACTCTGATGTGGGATGCAAGCATCCAAGTGGCATTTTTTTTTTTTTTTGACAGACAAAGTGGACAGTGAGAGAGAGAGACAGAGAGAAAGGTCTTCCTTTGCCGTTGGTTCACCCTCCAATGGCCGCCGTGGCCAGTGCGCTGCGGCCGGCACACTGCGCTGATCCGATGGCAGGAGCCAGGTACTTATCCTGGTCTCCCATGGGGTGTAGGGCCCAAGCACTTGGGCCATCCTCCACTGCACTCCCGGGCCACAGCAGAGAGCTGGCCCGGAAGAGGGGCAACCGGGACAGAATCCGGTGCCCCAACCGGGACTAGAACCCGGTGTGCCGGCGCCGCAAGGCGGAGGATTAGCCTAGTGAGCCGCGGCGCCGGCCCCAAGTGGCATCTTAATTGCTAGACTGCACGCCCCTTGCTGCAGTGGAGGTTTTAAAACCAGAGAATACGTCTGCTGAATTCTTGCCTACACAACCATATTAGAAGTGACCTTGGAAGAAAAGAGAGAAAGAGGAGAAGGGGAGGGAGAAGAATGGGAAATAGCATTATATTCTTAGGATTGTATCAGGGAACTACATTGAATTTGTTCTCTTTGTATTAATACCACATTAATATAAAAATTGATGAGAGTTATGGTAGTAATATCAGCATTTACTGTGACCCTGAAAATCTAATGTATTAATAAATTTCTTTAGTTAATTAAAAAGGAAATACCCTCCCATTCTCCTCCGCCTTCCCCCCCAAAAAAAGCAGCCTCAAAGTAGGTACTGTCCTCAGTCCCCATGATTCTCCAAGTGGTTGCAGTTTGGTGGCTGGGCCCGAGGAGTCCACTGAAAATGCAGCTGTGGTTTCTTCCCAGGGTCCATGCTGGCTTTGTGAGTGCCGCAGGCCCCGGCTGAGAGGTGCAGGAGCTCTGCCAGGTGGGGGCTGCCTGGCATCAACATTTGCAGGTCCCACGGTATTTGTCTTTTCTTTTTGCTCCTTTAAAAGAAACCGCTGCTGAGATTTCTGATCAGCAACAGGATAAAAAAGATTCCCCCATGCCCTCTAACAAGGGGTTTGTGGAACAGCTGGAAAATGAATGGGGAAGGTGTTTTTTTAAATCATAATTTGCAGATTTGGCGAGTTGTCAGCAGCAGGGGACAGGAGCTATGAGTCGGCGCTGCTGGATGCGTCTGGCAGCAGAACAGGTCTCAGTGGAGGTAGCCGGCACTGCCAGTCACCACCCACACCCACACCCCACCCTCTGTAGGATGTAGGTTAAAAGCTCCATCTCCCAGTTTTCCTTGCACCAGACAGGGCCACGTGGTGAGGCCATGGTTAAGTAATAGAGCTTGCATTTGGGACTCCTGGGAAGGGTGCTTGAAAGAGACTGTCTTGGGGGTGCTCATCTGCCTGTGCAGCATCCCTTCTGCCTCTGGACGCTAGCCCAGCTTGGCAGCCTGCAAGCCATCTTGAATTGTGAGGCGACTCAGGACAGAAGGATATGCTGGAATGGTGCAGCAGGAAGACAGAGCCTGGGCTTTCAAATTCTTGTACTTAAACTTTCTATCTTGAGCTGATTATAGATTCCCCAAATAGTTGTGAGAGACAGTCCAGGGGTGCCCGTGCACCCTCTGCCCCGTGTGCCGCACAGTGATGTCTTGGAAAAGATCCCAGCACAGGATCCCTCGTGTTGTACTCTCATCATCATCATCGCAGCTGTGTCCCTCCTGCCCTTTGCACCCTCCTTAGCTGCTGGAAGCCAGTGGTCTGTTAGGGCCTGGCCCTGAATGGAGGCAGAGCATCGTCCCAGCCCTGGACTACCTACTGTGGAATGAACTTTTAAAATGATTTCTGTTTGTTTTTAATTTATTTATTTGAGAGAGAAACAGAGAGTGAGTGAGTACCCCCATCTGCTGGTTCTCTCTGCAAATGCCTGCAGTGGCCCTCAGGACTGGGGGCTGAAACTGGGAGCCATAAACTCAAGCCAGGTCTCCCATCTGTGTGGCAGGAACCCAATTGCTTGAGCCATCACTACTGCCTCCCAGAGTGAACATGAGCAGGAAGCTGGAGTCAGGAGCTAGGAATCAAACCTAGGTGGCATCTTAACTACTAGGCCAATCGCGCACCCTGGATGAACTTGGAGAGACAGAACTATCTCTGTCAATTAAGCACTATTAGCAATATTATTTTCTAAATACCATACAGCTAAACCTAGTCCTTCACTGAAGTAGCAAAGATTCAGAGAAAGAGGCTGAAGAATCTTTGTTAGGTTAGGGGACAATAAAGACTTGTGAAGGTGGTTTAAAAGCAGCAAGGAGTCTCAGCCTAATCAAGAGAGGACGGGGGGGGGGATGCCGCTTTCATGTGTTTCCCTTCCTCAGGGCAGTGACCATGGGACCATGGCCTTGATGGGACACTTTTGAATGTTTGAGTGTTAGCTATATTTTATCCTCAAATATTATTTCTGCTACAGATATTCCCAAGGATATATTGGATTCTTTAAAAAGATTGATTTTTATTTGAAAGGCAAAGTGACAGAGAGAGAGAGACAGAGAGACATCTTCTATCTGTTGAAAATCTGGAGCCAGGGACTCCATCCGGGTCTCCCACATGGGTAGCAGGGACCCAAGTACTTAGGCCATCATCTGCCAGCTTCCCAGGCATATTAGCAGGAAGCTGAGTTGGAAGCAGAGTAGCTGGAACTTGAACCAGTGCCCAATATGGGATGCAAGCATCCCAATCAGTGGCTTAACCCTCTGTACCTGCCACAATGATACGGTAGCCTAAGGTTCACATTTATGATTTCTAGAAGTCACAGCACTTCTTTGGGGGATTTCAGTTCTGACTCTGAGAAAGAGTTTAGTGGGGAAAGTGCAGTGTGATGTTCACAAATGTCCTAGAGACGTGGATGGAATGTGTGAGGGCTGTGAGGGCTAGTGGAGGCTCCCGGACCTGTCTTAGGTGGCCACCCATGCTGTGTTTTGCTTTCCAGGAGCTGGAGTCAGAGAGGACGTGTTTCTCATTTGGAGGGAGATGGAGGAAGCCTGCAGCACGCTGGCCCAGATCCAGAGGCTGGTGGCCGAGTCTCCCAAGTCCAACATGACCACGTTAGACTGCGGTTGGTACTGTTGCTACCAGTTGGGAATGGGGAGTCGTTTCCATGATCCTAACCAAAGGGTGTGCGTTAGGGCAGGTGTGCGGAGCTGCTGAGAGCTCCTAGAGCTGTTCTGGGTGTGTGTGTATGTGTGTGTTCATGTGTGCGTGCGCTGCACATGCATGTGTGGACTGTCAAAGAGGAATGAGAGCTGGGCGGTAGCCAACATGACAAACACAAAATTTTCTGGAACTGTTGCAATAGGGGAAAGAGACCTCAGTAGACAACTGAACTCAATTCTGAATGCAGCAGGGACAGGTGAGGATTTAAGGCCAAGGAACAGGGAGCGGGGGTTTTGGATGGGAAATTTCTAAGAGGAGACATCAGGGGTAAAGGGAGATTTTGGCTAAACCTGTATGACAGGACTCTTGCTGAGGTTGGGCCACGGTGATAGGATGGTGAGTGGGGATGGAAGCCTAGGGAAGTTTAGCCCGATCATGATGGCTAAACTGACTCAGCAGGATTTTTGCTAAAACTGGGCAATGCAGAGATGTACATAAAAGTCCAAAGGTTGAGGCCTAGTGTGGAAGAGGACGCAGGGGAGCCTGACTAAAGTTTGGTTAAGGGGAGACTTTGTCGGTACACCTGGGCTTGGCCTTGGCCTGCAGCCTCAATCCTATCTACACTGCCTGCAGCAGGAAGTCACCTGACTCACCTTCCTCAGCTGACAGGAAGGCTGGATGTGTTCTCTCTCGTCCTGACTTAAGGCCATCACGCTTCTTTGAGCAGGATCTGCAGCCTCCCTGCAGAAGAGGGGTCGCAGGCTGGGGAGGAGTGTGGAGTGCCTGCCTGGAAGGGAGAGGGTGATAGGGGAACGGTTTACATTATTACTATGAAAAAGGAATGACCACACTCCAGTTGCATCTCCCAGTCTCTAGAGCTTTTTAGTGTGACTTGGAAAAGCCCCTTGCAATTCTGGAGGTCAGAAATCTGATTTGCTGTCCCTAAATGGTGATGACAACGATGCTGACAGCCGTCTAGAGAGCACTTGCTATAGTCAGGCTGAGGACTAGGCTTGTGCTGAGCCCATAACTATTATCCCTGTTTGGCAGGTGAGACACCCGAGGCAGGGAGAGATTAAGTAGTCAGCCTGAAGACATACAGCTGGAAAACGTGGAGGCTGATTTTGAACTCCAGTGCCAAAGAGAAGCTTTCCTGACTGCATTGTCAAAAGACGTTGGAAGTGAAGCTACATTCATCTTTTTTTTCGGTCAAATTTACTAGTTTTTATTTATTTGGAAGGTAGAATAAGAGAGAGAGCGGTACCTTCTATCTGCTGGTTTCCTCCCCCAAATGCTTTCAACAGCCAGACCAAGGCAGGCTGAAGCCAGAAGCTGGGCTATCAATCCTGGCCTCCTAGTAGGTGGCAGGGACTTTAGTACTTGGGTCATCATCCACTGCCTCCCACATACATTAGCAGAAAACTGGATTCAAAACGGAGGTGCGACTCTATCCCAGGCACTGCAGAATGGGCTGTGGGCATCCCAAGTGGTAGCTTAACCCAGTGCACCACAACACCTTCTCTTACATCCACCTTAACATTACTTTCCCAGTTACTAATTAGCACTTACGCTATCATAACCAAAAGGAAGCTCCCCTCTCCCCTTGTTTGAGGTGTTCAGGCCCCACAGGCACAGCACAGAAGTGAGCTCATTACATTATTATTAGTGGATGGATGACATTGAGAAGTATTTTTCCCCACGTTTTTCTTGACAATCAAAATATTTTTTTTAAAAAATTTTTTTTTTTTGACAGGCAGAGTGGACAGTGAGAGAGAGAAACAGAGAGAAAGGTCTTCCTTTGCCGTTGGTTCACCCTCCAATGGCCGCCGCGGCGGGCGCGCTGCGGCCGGCGCACCGCGCTGATCCGATGGCAGGAGCCAGGAGCCAGGTGCTTTTCCTGGTCTCCCATGGGGTGCAGGGCCCAAGCACCTGGGCCATCCTCCACTGCACTCCCTGGCCACAGCAGAGAGCTGGCCTGGAAGAAGGGCAACCGGGACAGAATCCGGCGCCCCGACCGGGACTAGAACCCGGTGTGCCGGTGCCGCAGGCGGAGGATTAGCCTAGTGAGCCGCGGCGCCGGCCCCAAAATATTTTTTATAACAAAGGGGATGAGTTTTGGAATGAGAAAGGCCTAGTTATAAATCCCAACTCCATCAGTAGCTTAACCTCTCTCAGTCTTTGTTTATTCTTCCGAAAAATTACTATAATCATCTTGAAAGATTATCGTAATGATTAAATAATGTGTGCTTTGCACCAAGCAGGTGCTTGAGCAATGTCAGCTCACTCTTTCCCTTTCACAGGGGAGTTTGTACGCTGATTCTCCTGTGTAAATTCTTGAGCTAGCAAAGGGTTTTCTTCTGGAAGTTACTGTCCGGCATACCTGTAGTGACAATAGTTAACAATAAACACAGGAACCTTACATGTCAGGTACTGTTCTGGGGTCTCCACAAGTGTTAACATCGAACCCTTACCGCAGCCCCATGAGACAGGTGCTGCTGCTGCTATTATCTTCAATTTGAATTAAGCAATTTCCCCTAGGGCACACAGCTAGTAGGTGATGAAACCTGGATTCGAAATCTATTCCATCCATAAGAATGCTGATGTCTGCCTCCCACTGCCAGACATTCTAATTGAAACCTTGTGGGAAGACATTGGGACTTTGGAAAGCTCCCCAGGTGATCCTAACGTGCAGTACGGTTTGGACCAACACGTCCAGGGTGTGGCTCCTCTTGGTACTGCCCAAATTGCAGAGGTGTCTGTTGGAGGCTAAGAGCAAGGAGGCCGGCTGGCTGCGGATGGAGATGTGGTTAAGTAGAGAAGTGGGCCGGGGACCTGTGCAGAGGCAGGGAGAGGTTTAGGCATGAGTGAGCATTCCCTCTGTGACTTGATACACTCCTGGGGACCAGTCCCCTGAGGTTTCCTAAGGAGGTGCCTACACTGGCTGGACTGGAGGAGCCACTCTAGAGACATCTCACTCAAAGACTCAGGTGCTCCCCTGTCATCCCAGGAGAGTGAAAATAAAGCAGTGGGCCCAGGCTAAAGCAAACCTCTATTCCAGGCAAAGAGGACGGTGATCCTGCTGCTGCACTGTTTGTTTGGGGAGTGCCACGGACTGAACGATGACTTCCCAAACTCCGACATTGAAGCCCCCATGCGACTGTATTTGGAGACAGGACCTTTAGGAGAGTAATTAGGGTTGAATGAGGTCCTAAAGGTGGTAGGGCCCTGATCAGATATGGCTGGCCTCTAAGACACCAGAGAGCTGTCTCTCTACATAGGCACGAGCCAGGCGGGAGGCCTCACCAGAACCCACTGCTGCCGGCACCTACGCCTTGGACCTCCAGCTTCCAAAGCTACGGAAGTAGATTTCTGTTAAGTTGTCCAGCTTTTGGGATTTTGTTTTGGCAGCCCAAGCAGACCATACAGGGAGTTTTCATATTTGGTGTAGGCTTAACAGGAGGTTTTAGAAGTTATTTGTAAAGGACACAGAAGAGCTATAGGCTTCTGAAATTAGACAATGATCTATGATTGTCCATTTGTTTCAATCTAACACACACCTAAAACACCAAGTAACTCCAAGCAGAAAGTTTTTGTTCTTAAGATTTATTTTTAAAATTTTTTTTAAAGATTTTATTTATTTGAAAGAGTTATGGAGAGAGGAGGAGACAGAGAGAGGTCTTCCATCCACTGGTTCACTCCCCAAATGGCCACAATGACTGGAGCTGCGCCGATCCGAAGCCAGGAGCCAAGAGGTTCCGCTGGGTCTCCCACATGAGTGCAAGAACCCAAGGACTTGGGCCACCTTCTACTGCTATCCCAGGCCATAGCAGAGAGCTGGGTTGGAAGAGGAGCAGCCGGGACTTGAACCGGCACCCATATGGGATGCCGGTGCTTCAGGCCAGGGCGTTAACCTGCTGTGCCACAGCACTGGCCCCCAGATTTATTTATTTTTTTGAAAATCAGAGTACAGAGGGAGTGGAAAAGAGAGAGAGGTCTTCCATCTGCTGTTTCACTCCCCAGATGGCCGCAACAGTTGGAGTTGAGCCGATCCAAAGCCAGGAGTCAGGAGCTGCTTACAGGTCTCCCACATGGATGCAGAGGCCCAAGCACTTGGGCCATCTTTCACTGCTTTTCCCAGGCCATTATCAGGGAGCTGAACTTGAAGTGGAGCAGCCAGGACATGAAAAGGCTCCCGAACAGAAAACTTTTTAAAAAATACTTAGAATGTACTATTTGGATTTTTCAAAAAATTGGTTAGGACCCTTCCTCCTATAGGAGGAAGCTTTTGTAAACTTGGTTTGGCTCCACTGGCTTTATATAGGGTGTCTGGCCCGCTTGACTTCCTGCCTACAGGCCACTGTTATTGAGGCAAAGTCTGTGTCAGTCCAGGACTCTGTGTCTGCTTCCTGGGAAGATAGCAGCCGTTCCCCCAGGTTGGCTTCTCAAAGCCTACAGGCTACAGGCGATATGGTAGCCAGCTGGAGAGAGTAAGGGGGAGACCAGAGACAGGTGGGCTGCTGTTCCACAGGGAGCCTTCAGGTGAATTACACAAAGGCTGCCCTCTTTGGGGATATTGGCCCCCACTTGGGCTGGGCACGATGGTTCAGGGATTAGCAGGTCCATTTAACCCTAGGGCCAGGAGGGCAGTTTCTGTCAGAGGCGACTCACCAGCCCGATGCCTGGGATGGGAAGATGATAAGACCAGGCCTTCTGGTCACTGGTAATTTTGGCCTCTTTTAATTACTGTGAGCAGGACCTAAGTATTTCCTGGGTGAGGGGGCGGGCAGGGGCTAGAACTGACCAAAATATATGAAATGATTTTTTTTAAAGACTTTATTTGAAAGGCAAAATGAAAGAGAGAAAGGGAGAAAAAGAGAAAGATCTTCCAAATGGTTCATTCTCCAAATGGCTGTAATAGCCAGGGCTGGACCAGGACTGGACCAGGAACCCAGAACTCCACCC